AGTTGGAGTAAAAAACATGAAAGAAACCCTACAGAAAAACAGAAATGTTCTTCACTTCAGGAAGAGGATTTTATGCTTATAATGCAGTTACTTTAACAGTATTTCACACAGGTACCTATTTGTTTTCAGTTAACTGACTAGGACCATTTTCTTCCCTAGGCAAGAAAAATTTAGTATTGATATGTTGACTCAGTCTGTGTTGATTAAGGCTACCCCCTCCCTAGTTGGTCTTTTCTTTAATCTAGCTGCTTATAGATGCCAACCAACCTCTTTTTCATCTTGCCCTAGGCTCAATTATGTCATTGTTATTATGACAGGGGAATCACCTGTCGTCAAGTGTGGCTATCACTCTGGGTCTCCATCCTACTCCTAAATATCACAGATAAGAGAGGCAGTGTCCTGTCTGCACTTTCTGGAAAGTGTAAATGGAGTGCTAAACTCAGGACAAAGCAACAGGAAGTGCTGAAAGACAGCCTCTGGCCTTCCCCAGGGCCATTGAGCATACCTCCCACAGAACAGGTACCTCTGGGGGCAGAGGCCCTGGAGTCACAGTGGAAAATCTGGGTCATTTGACCTCTTCATCCTTGAGAGACTTAGTTCAATTTTTCTAGGTAGTCCAATTAATACCTTTTTGGCAGCAAATATTTACTGAGCATAAATGGTGCAGAAGATGAATAAACCTCCATCAACAATGCTCCTGTCCTCTGGGAGCTGACATTCTAATGAAAAGAACCACCACGTAATAAATACTTTCAAATGGTGACAGTAATTCTTTTTTAATCTGTCAAGTAATCAAGGCACTTAACGTTTTCATTTTTTAAGGCTCCCTATATGTTCAGGCACTAATATGGAAAGTTTAATCAGTTACTCATACCAATTAATTTCATCTAAAAATAATTTTGTTAGATGCAGAATTTCACAAGTTACCTTTGGAAAAAAGGGTAATTTGTCTTCAAGTTTAATCATGTGAACAAAGCCAAAATGTATTATCCATCTTTTTCCACTCAGATCAACTGTGTAATCAACTAATATTACAAATTACAAAAAACAAAAAGCAATAACAATGTGAGGGTGAAAATGGAAAACAAGCTGACCTCTAAAAGATAACTGAAATTTTATCCTAACATTTGCCTACCTGTGCTAATTAGGAAGAAAAGGGATGATATATTAGCTGACCCACAACTAATCTCACTTCCATCTAAATCAATAGTTCTAGGGGCACCTGGGTGGCTCAGTCGGTTAAGCGTCCGGCTTCAGCTCAGGTCATGATCTCACTGTTCGTGGGTTCAAGCCCCATGTTGGGCTCTGTGCTGACAGCTAGCTCAGAGCCTAGAGCCTGCTTCTGATTCTGTGTCTCCCTCCCCTAATCAAGCTGCTTTTCTCTCTCTCTCTCTCTCTCTCTCTCAAAAGTAAATAAAACATTTAAAAAATAAATAGTTCTAACCTCTCCCATAACATTAACTCTTGGGCAGTCTTACCATGAGCGAACTGGCCAAACTAAGCTACAGGAGAAAAAAAGACAAATATCACGGCTTATTGGATTTGAATTTTGGGGGTCGAGATATATGAAGGATCTCTGAGAATTCAAGAGACGCTTTAGACATTACTAGAAAGTAAACATACAGGGGCGCCTAGGTGGCTCAGTCAGTTAAGTGTACAACTTCGGCTCAGGTCATGATCTCACGGTTTGGGAGTTTTAGCCCCACATCAGGCTCTGTGCTGACAGCAAAAAGCCTGGAGCCTGTTTCATATTCTGTATCTCTCTGTTTCTCTCTCTCTCTCTCTGTTCCTCCCTGGCTCTCACTGTCTCTCTTTCAAATATAAATAAACACTAAAAAAAACTTAAAAAAAAAGTAGACACACATAGCTTAGCCTACAATTTCAGTGAAACTATGACTGCCCTATAGCCCATTCAAGTCCCAGATTATAATCCCCTGACCTAGATAAATACTAAATTCAGAAATCAAGTCTAAGATTATCAGCAGTTTAAGGGGTTCAAAGAATCAGTTTGCACGGAGTCATTTTCGGTATGTTATCTAAGTTAATTTCTACTCCTACCACCTTGGGAAGCAGGTATTATCATCTCCTTTTACAAAGAGGGAAAGCCAGATTCTGAGAGGTAAAATAACAAGTGCAAGGTCAAACAACTTGCTCTCACACCCAGGCTTTTAACCCCTAAGTCCACAATCATAAACTAACTGGATGAGCACTCAGCAAGTGTGGTCCATATTCTGAGACATCTTCCAAGATGGGCAGTTTCTGATTCTTCGTGCTTCAATCATGAGATCAATTTATCTACATTTAACCTCCTTGCCGAGAGGAATTAGCACAGATTTAGTTCCACAACACCTTTTCTTGGTAGGCAATAATCTTAACTACAGACAAACAATAATAATTTTTGATAATTTTAAAATGTATTTTCATTTTGTAAGCATCCCAACATGAGCTGTGAGACAAAGACTCCTGCACAGTGCTGAACAGCTTCATGCCTGAATTTTGCAACTGTTCAGAAAATCCACAGTCACAAATGGATCAGGAATCGACTGAATTAAAAAACTTCCATCTCTATTCAAAAACAGTCAGGCAGGACTTCAGCCATCCTGGCCCCTTTGGCATCCTCTGAATGGTTGGAGCAGCTTTTAAAAACCAGCACCTCTAATCATCACTAATAATTTGATAGGTCAGAAGCATACACAACCAAATCTATGACCCTTTTTGCCTCAAGAAGGTAGTTTAAAGGTCTTAGATCCTCAGAGTAAATAAAACCTGTTGATGAATATGTCCCAGCAGAAAATAATAAATATGGCAAAAACTGGGTTCAGCCACTAAATTTGGTTGGGTCTCAGTCTAGACCAAGTTGCCCAGTGAAACACTAATACACTTACTCATCCTCTATTGGGGAATTACCAATAATTAGCACGCTGTTTTCACACAGATTTAGAAACCCTTTATGGGAAATGTATCCACACCCAAAGAATAAAAACTAAGAACAGGAATGGGTCAGGTCCCCTAATGCTCTATTCCAACTGCTTCCTAGGAGAGTTGCCACCTAGTGATTTTAATTTTTTAAGCCCAGGCGGACTGCCAACTCAACACTAAAACCGGACTAACAACTGATTTTTCCTATTGCAACATCGCCAGCAAGTCCTGTGCTTTCCCTCTCTTTCCTTTGCTCTCAAACAGCGATTCTCATTTTCAAAATCAACTAATTTGCTCTATAATCTGTTCCAATTGGAAGCTCTCACTGAGCTGCCACTGGTATTACTCTTCTCAGAGCCAAGAGGCCAACAAGAGGCCAGTTCAAAAAACCAAAACAGCAAACGTGAGAAAAAGAGAGGCTCTAAAAACAAGAAGTAAATACGGAGACAGTAACAATGGGCTACCTCTGGACTTTAAAACATTCAGCTCGCCAAAGTTCTACCTATTCTTCGGCCCTGGATAGTAACTATGCCAAAGTAAATGGCTGCATATAGGCAAAGAAATTGCATTGGGGAATATAAACTCAGGATTTTGTATACAAAACCTCATGTAAGGTCTTGTCCTACTACCACTGAAAGAACAACTTCAAGTGAACCTAAAGTTCACTGGCCTCCAAAAGTCCTTTCTGACTGCAGTGTGTGCAAACCTGGCACAGGCCTTAGATAGCAAAGTTGACTCTTCAAAGAAAAATAAAATCTAGGGGGGAAAAAAAAGTCTGACAGTCCCTAGATACCTGACCTTTCATTTCATTTGGAGACACACCTTTAGCTACAAACATTGCTTTAAGTGTCCTTCTCTAAGTATCGGTTTTATTAAAAACTGACCAATAATTAGGCACTGGTTCCACTAACTATGGACACTAAAGGCTTGTTTCACGATATGAAATTCCGGACTTTTTTCCACCCTCATCTTGGCGCCACACACACACACACACACACACACACACAGTCTGACCAACTGGCTCCTCAGTGGTGATGATCCTTCTGTAGCACCCTAAACGTTGCAGCTTAAATCTCATAGAAATAAGGCTGCACAGATAAACTGTTATCTTTCCTTAAGTTTGAAATCAATTTTGATTGCCAGCAGAAAATTTCTGGTGGCAAGATTTTCCTTCCCAGAGCCGCCTAAAGCATTCGTGGAAATGCTTTCCAAAGCGATTAATTCCCATCTCCACTTGTGTTTTTCAGTAAGAGGGTCCGACCAGAAGGGATCTGGGTTCAACTCACTGCCGGTCCCCAAAGCTTATCACAGAGCAACGCAGCTCAGGCTGCACCACACCAAGGCCGCCATCGAAGGGTTCCGGGACGCTTCCCATTACAGGAAGACCTAGAAACCAGGATTTTCCAATCATTCCTCTCTCCCCCTTCTTCCTCCTCAGTCAGCAGCATCCTCGCGCAGGGTAAGGCGTGGGTAACGTAGGATAAAGTTCCCCACCCTAATACAGCTGGCAAGGAAACTTCCTCAGGGCTTGCAAAAACTCCAATGGGGGGCTGGACTCACCTTCGCGACAGAGCCCCATGACTTCGCGGTTTTTCCCAAACTCCTTGAAACTTTCGTCCAATTCCGTCCCTAGGAGATACACACACACAGGAGGAGGGGAGAGGCAGATCAGTGGCCGGGAGTGTGACACACGCTCACGCACGCAAGGAGTAGTTGCGGGCACCTCCGTGTACCCCAACCGAGCGATAGCATCTCTGACCCCCGAGGGGGCGGGTCACAGGGTGGGGGGAGGGGAGGTGGGTCAGAGGATGGGGGACGGGGCACTTGGGGAAGAGGAGGGCAGAGGAGGGCGTGGACACTCACCGTCCTTCCCAGGAAGTTTGGAAGCCTCGACCCACAGATTCCACGACTGTCCCAGCATCGCTTCTGGACTGGGCAGGGGCCTGCGCTCCCCGACGGTCGCCATTGCGGCGGCGGCCGATGTGGAGGCGGCGCCCGGGCCGCCGTCCTCCGGCCGGAGGCGCCGCGGCGGCGGCGGCGGCTGCTGCCGCTGGGGCTGCGGAGGCTGCTGCTGCTGCTGTGGCTGCTGCTGCTGCCGGGCGGCCGCCGCCGCTGCTCCGCCCGCTGCCGCCGCCACTCGGCGCGGCTCCCCCCTGACGTCATCCACGGCCCGCTCCGACATTCTTTCCGCTCCTACAATGTAACAAAAAAGGGGGAAAAGAGTCGCGCGGGGGCCGCTTTTAAGGAGGCGCCGGGGAGTTCCGGCGGCGTGCGCGGCCCGCAGGCCGGGTGGGGCGCGCTGACAGCGCCCCCCGGCCGCCCGGCCCTCCCAACCCGCCTCCTCCCGTGCCACCCCCCGCCCCGGGCGCAAAGTCCGCGGCGCGGGCTCGCTTTCGCTTTCGACTCCCGCGGCCCCTCGGGGGAGGGGACGAGCCGCCGGCGGCCCGCCACCGCGGCGCAGGGTCCCCTGCCTGCCTCCGCCGCCGAGACCCGCACGGAGGCCGGCGCCCGGAGCTGCCCCCGCCCCAGCCACGGCTGCCCGTGGCGGGGAGGCCTAAAGTCGCACCCCCGGCCCTCGAGCTGCCCACCCTGAGGCCGCTCGCATCCCCGGGCCGGGCCCGGCGGCCCCGCTCCTTCCTTCCGTCCGCGCGTCGGTCCGAGCCACGGCGCCCGGCCGGCTCCCTTAAGCAGAGGCGCCTCCCGCCGCCTCCTCCCCCACGCCGGTCCCTCCCTCTCAGCTCGCTCCGGCGAAGTTTGCACGTCAAGCCCCCGGAGTGGAGCCAGGGCGAAGTCGGAAACGCAGCCACCTATGGAGGAGCAGGCTGCCCGGCCCCGGGGCACCATCGAATGTCGTCGCCGTCGGGCCCTCCCGCCCGGGGTTTCGGACCAGGGGCCGGTGCACGGAGCACTTCGCTCTCCGCTCGCAGGCGGCCAAGCAGCTGTCAAAAGCATGAATGGCAAGCCGCCGCCTAATGGGTAGGAAACCACGGGCCGGCAGGAAAATGCGGCCCAGGTGCAGTCCCAGGTGTCAGCCCGAAGCCCCGGTGTTCGCTCGGTGCCCACCACTAGAGGTCACAGCGTGCGCCCTGGGAACTTGAACTTCTGGTCTAGCAGAGAGATCACGAAATCAGTTTAAGATGGAGAGACAGACGGAGGTGAATCCGTCTACAGGTTTTGAAGACACGACCCGAAATTTCTCTATTTACCCCTCCATTGCTCCTACAAGTGATCCGTTCGCCCCGAAAATTAAAAAAAAAAAATCTTGCCATTTTAAAATCAGGTTCATTTTTAGTTAGAGTTGTTAGTCCCTCCCTCTTTATGGTTGTCTTTGGTTCGGCAGGGCGGGAACCCAGGGCTTAGGAGAATACACAGCACTTCTAGAAAATGTGTTTAGAAGGTAGTGTTTTGTCAGATTTTGTACACTAAATTAAGCACTAGCCCACAAAATTTAGCACCCCTACTCAATACACACAAACACGGGCGCCCGGCAAAGCTTTTACTTAAGTGATAGGTAAAGATAGCAAAATAAAAGAGTACTTAATAACCAAAGCGTGTGAAGTACTTGAAACAGTAACGGACCACAGTAACCACTTTCAAGAAGTGCTCTGTTATTTCAAACTGACGTGAGAATCTGAAGCCTGTGACAGAAACAAGGATTCTGATCATGTTTCACACCGCAATAATAACATTCTTGTGGCACGTGTGTCATAGCCGTTTGGTTACAGGTGCTTTCTCTAGGTGGGGAGGAAGAGGGTTTCATGTTTTTTATCTGGAACATCTGGCATGATAGACGTTGCCAACTTCTCTGTTAAAGACACAAAGTTCAACAAAAATGTTTAAATAAGAGTAAAAATTAATAAGGAAATGTCATGGCAACCTAAACTTAATGCAAGGCTCTTATGAGAAAGGGTTTAAGTTGAAAATTTACAAGCATTAAAAATACACACACACATACATTTTTTATTTTAAAAAGATTTAGAAATAACTGTGTAAAATTTTTCCTGGATTGCATGCTAACATAAGTCCCAAAGAGTGAAATGATGCATCCTTCCTGTTCTTATCTAATAAGTAGTAAAAACAAAATAACCAAAAAATGGTGGAAATTATTGGAAGGATAAAAAAAATCATTGCTAAGGCTTTAACTTCCTTTTCTCACGACCAGGGAGAAAAAAATGTGTGGGCAAAACATATAATTCCCTTGGTACTAATACGGTTCCTAACTCTTAATATAGGCCCTCAGGAGCACCTGAGTGGCTCAGTCAGTTAAGACATCTGACTCAATTTCTGCTCAAGTTATGATCTTAGGGTTTCTGAGATCAAGCCCTACATCAGGCTCTGTGATGACAGCATGGAGCTTGCTTGGGATTCTCTCTTTCCATCTTCCCCTCCCCTCCCCACCCCACAATAAATAAATAAACACTAAAAAAAAATAGGCCCTCAATATTGGAAGTCCCTAGTGCACTTTCAATTTTTCATTCATCCCAAATCACTGAAAAATCTGCAGAATTACGTTAAAAATCCACCTTCTGTTTTCCTAGATTAAAGTACATAGTTTATTAATAACTTTGAATTTTACAGTTCTACCTTTAAGATAAATGAAAATTTAGGGGCACCTCAGTGGCTCAGTAGGATAAGCGTCCAACTTCGGCTCAGGTCATGATCTCACTGTCGGTGGGTTTGAGCCCTATGTTGGGCTCTGTGCTGGCAGCTTAGAGCCCAGAGCCTGCTTCAGAGTCTATGTTTGGTGCTCTCTCTGGCCCTCCCCTCTTTGCGCTTTGTCTCTCTCTCAAAAATAAACATTGAAAAAATTAAGATAAATGAAAAATTTGAATGTCATTTGGAGCTGCCATTTAAAAAAAAAAAAAGCTTTGGACCATCCAACTATACAGATACCAAAGGGAGCCTGCCAGTTGAATACAGCCCTTCTCATCTCCAAGTACAGGGTGCGAATGAAAATAAGGGGAAGAATGGCAAACTTGAAGCACAGACTCACTTCCTCAAACACTGCTTGATTTCCCTCTTTTTACATGTGAAAATCCTTCAAGATTCACTAATATAACCTTTAGCCAATGGGCTGAATATAGCACTTTATAAGTGCTTCAACTTCTGTCCTTCAACAATAGTTGCTCAATACATTTTTTTCTTTCTTCACAGTTTTTGAGTCATTTAATAAAGAAAATACAGCAGAATTTAAAGTGAAATATAAGTATCCTCTTAGCATTATGAACATTATTAAGATAAGTTATTACTAATAGCAACTCTCAGTTGTTGAGCACCTACTGGGCGCCGAGCACTGCCAGAGGTACTTTTTGCATTATGTCAACTAATATTCAAAACCGGCTAAGTGAGAAGCTGTATTACTTCCAATTTACAAAATAGGACCATGAAGGAGGGCTCTGGAGCTAGGTGCCAGGAATTCTTTCTAGGTCCATATACTCGCTCTTCCACTTGAAAGTTGTGTAACCAGAGCAAATTACCTAACCTAACTTGTCTGCACCCCAGTTTCCTAATATGTAAAATGGAGATAAAGCCAAGCTTCTTCTGAGGAATATGTGAAAAGATCCATGAAAAGCACTTGGTACACAGCTTAACACAAAATAAAGACTAAACATAAGTGTCTTATACCAAACTAAGCATTCCAGATCAATTCTTATCTGTGAAATGTATTTGAGTTTGAAGCTGAAGAATAAGAGGCAACTCCTTGGCATCTCCCCACCAAATTTCTTCTGCTGAAGCCAACACATTTACCACACTCTCTTCACCCATAAGAAAGTCCTAAACCCTTCCAGATAAGACAGTTCTGATACCCATAGTCGGTCTGGCTTTCCCAACAGTTCTAATGAGTCACCAACAAAAGTCAAAACTGCTAGCTGAGAAAGTACAGTGTTCTGATACACAAATTGGGGCAATATTCCCAAAGTGTTCCTTATACAAAGGGCACAGTCTGCAAACAAGAGTACACCAGGAACTCAAATACTTATTTTACCTATCGGGCCATAAAAAAAAAAAAAAAAAAAAGCAAAAAGCAAAAAACAAAACACACCTTATGACTTCTTACCTAAATCCCATCCTCTATACCCCAAAAATATAAAAAGAACATTACTAATGCAATTTCTATTTGTTTAATATGACTAGTTTAGTATAGTAGTGTGCCTTGTATGCTATCAGCATTCCTGCCTGCATACTGAGGCTGTCTCACAGCTCTGAGGATCTTCAATATCTATCTGCATAGATAAATGATATGTTTTATAAGGTTTGAGTAATGAGGATTCAATTTATCAAACATTTCCTTATTGCCTAACACACTGTACCTGGTAGGCACAAGGTAAACACAACATAGTAATTTTGCTGAGGACATGAGAAGAATAAGAAGTGGGGGAAAAATTTAATTCATCAAAATGCTCTTGTGCAAAAAAGGCTGTCACCATCAACTAGACTGTATGTGGCTTAAGAACTAGGCCGTCAGAAGTGAAATGCTGCCAAATTCTGAACATTTCATCCCTTCCAGGGATGCATTTAAAATATGGCCTTACTTCACCATCCAAATTTAGGGATGTTCCCAGTAGGGGCCAAGGGTAACAAGGTCTCTCTTTACAAAAAGTATTCTTTGCACAGCAGATCCACTTGTAAAATGGTTTGTTCAAAGGCCAAAGGCATCACTAAGTGGAAAAAAAAAAAGTTGATCTTTTCTAGTCTTTAAATCTGGCTTAATGTAAAATGGCTGAAACTGTCCAAAACTTCTAAGATGCAAGACCCCACACAACCAGCCTTTTTATTTGGGGGAAAAAAAAACCCACTGGTCCCACTACAACATTTTAATAAACTTGAAACCAGGAACCACAGTATATTTATCTGTGCAAATTACAGGGTTGGTAACAGAGATTCTCCATTATCAACCCCAAAGGATTGCAGTCATTTGAGTAACAAGGAATTCAGATCCCCTGAATTAGGAATATGTTGGTTTTGGTTTATTTCTCTTAAAATTGGCTGAGCCTTAATTCATATCCTCTCTCCCTCACTCTTTCTTCTCCAGAGCCAGGGCTCTCTTCTGCATGTGAGGCTGGCAGGCAAGAGCCCTTAATTGTGCTCCCTCTAGTGAAATACTTACAGCCTATCATGAATACCTCTATTCCAGCAGGGGGAGAACACTGGAAGGAGGAAATTGAATCAGCTCAGTGGCTGCCATTCCTGAC